TTATTTCAACTTAGATTTTTTTATTAGACTAATATTTTTTAATATATCAATTTAGATTTTTATAAACAAATTTTTYAATCAAATTATATATTTTATATCAACTTAAATTTCTTTATAACAAATTTTCAATTTTATTATTAATTATCTACAAAACTAATGGTGGGATAGTTAAAAACTGGAGATACAACAAATTCCAACAATGTTCAACAAGTCCAAGTAGAAGTTGTTGGGATGTTTTTGAAAAGCTTAAAGTACTTTTGTAGTGCCAACTTTACGTATCTTATTGAATCTACCTATACCACGTGTCCCAAGAAATAGGGTACACTTTATCACTCATTATCCTATATTACCCTATCTTTCAATTATGTTTGTTTTATGGAAAATTTTAAAATTTTACTAAATTTGAATTTGAATTTATTTTTTAACTGTTCGTATTATTTCCTTCTAAGCACTGTGATGTAATCAAAATTATTATTATTAAGTAATAAATTATTTACTATTTTTAAATTATTATTCAATTTTATTGTTACACATTTTAAAATAACATAATGTAAACAATTATTTTCAGAAAACATAATTCTAAATTTCTATTTTATTTTTTTAACAATATTATAGATTTTTATTTACAATTTAATTTACATAAATTACAAACATAAACTTACAATTCTAAGCAACGAGGAGACTTGTCTTATCCAGTCTTGGCCAACTACCTAACAATATAAATTAGTCAAAACTCATTCTATATATTAACTAGTAAAATTGTGTAACTTATAATATATCAACAGGCATAATTAGGAATTTTATATGATAACTATTTATTATATAAAATAACATATCACATACATTACTGCTAATATAGATATATACATATTCATAGATGTATATTACCTACTATAAAAGTAATATCCACTTATTTAAAAATCTTTTCAAAGCATTTATTTTTTATTATCAATAGCCTTAAGTTATTGATTGAATTTAAATTAGGCAAGTTAAAAAAAATTTGTTTACATACTTGACTTCAAACTTAATTGAGATATGAAAAATCTATTAACTTAACTTTCAATGTAATTGAACAAAAAATATTTAACTTAACATAACTGAGTAAAAAAAAAAATAWTAATTTTTCCAGCCTTGTTTATTATACCTATTCAATCAATTTAAAACTCACTATTACAAGCAATCCGAAATTATGTTGCCAAAGAGTGTCTTCGGAATCTCGAAGATAGCCTTGAATATGAAAAAGACTTACAATAGTTCCCTATGAGTTGGCATTGCATCTTCGGTCCACGATACTTCAACAACCTCGTCCCAACACGAGTAACTGAATACCGCCTTCATCCGCAACTCCTGTGGGCATGCTTGGCGCAGATACAAATAACATTCAAAAGTGGCTAGTTYATCCAACACGTTCTTCATCAACTTTAACTTTCAATTCAAAACATACTGTAGTTGACATTTGCAATGGAAAAGAAAAAAAAATTTTAATTAGTTGTTGAAAACTTACATTGCTGCTGGACTTGGATTACCAAGAACTGTGACCCTATAACGGATATTTTGAATACGAGTTCAGCTAGGTAATATACATTTATACACTGGTCACTACTTTCAGTCTACTCATCAGTCATCACTTTGCGAGCACCGCAAAGGTGGTAATAGTTATTGAGTAGAAGTGGCCTATAATAGGCGACTGGACCTCTCAGTTCGAAACTCTATCCTATTTCAACAACCTACCTATCCGGGTGACTTCAAGACGAACGCCAGATGTAACTGTATGAGGACCACGTGGTCCGAGTCCACTTCAACAGATTAAATGACCCCATCACCGACGTAGCCTGGAGGTTTTGAGCCCATGATTCGTCACGTAGAACAGAAGTCGGCATTTGCAGGAACAGTGGCTTAATTGGAAAATTTCATTGATATGTTAGTATTTTAAACTTGATAAAAATTATTTTTGATGTCATGATTTCAGTTATATATGAATTCATGACATAAAATAAAATCATTAGGTAGTTATATTAATCAAGGATCATCTATAAAGTACTATGTGTGCGTGTTTGAATTAAAATGGCAATTAATTTAATGAGAGTTACAACCACGATTTAAGATAGTACTATGATAAATCGTGGTTACAACTTACAACTAAGGATTACATAATTTATATCAATATTATTTGTATTAATAAGATAATCTTT